GATCAAATCTTTAATATGAGAATAATTTGTATGACTATTATGAGAACCATGGGGTTTCCAGCGCATTTGGTGCATTTAATTGAAAATCTTTATCGTCAACAACAAGCAGTCATCAGAGCAGCATGTGAAACATCGGAATGGTTCGAAGTGCACAAAAAAGAGAGGCAGAGGTGCATTCTCTCACCATACCTTTTCAATATATACGCAGAAAATATAATGAGAAATGTAAATGAAAAGTCTACTCGTTAACACCTCATGTGCATTCAGACTGCCATTCATGTCTTTCGTATGAACAAAACCCTAGCAACCAGTCAGCATATCGATGAGACAATATACCAACTATATTGTCTACTAAGAGAGTCGCCGTGGCCTAGCTGCTAGACGCTCGCCGCTGATCGGAACGTCTTGTGTTTGCTCCCTGGCGGAGCCGGACTTTTTCCAAAAATAACCTTGGCTCACATGTCGACCCAGCCTTGAGTGGGTACCGGGTGCAGTCCTGGGAAAGTGAAGGCGGCCGGCGTGATACTGACCACATCACCCATCTAGTGCCGATTAGGCTATAAAAATATAGGTCTAGCCCTATATGCCCTATATGCCCTATATGCCCTATACGCCTTAAGGCGTGGAAAAGGGTCCTTTTCTTTTTTTTTGAATTGTCTACTATGTCGGTCAAACATCAAGAGCCTAAGTTAATAAGAGCAGGAAATCAATAAAACTTTGGTGACACAGAAATGAACGCCATTATTACACCAGCCATGACCAACAGTATAGATATGTCTCAAACGTGCCTATCCGGCAGATAACGTTTATCTACCTTTACTCATATCCTAAACAATACTAGCGTTTGGAGTGCAGGCTTAAGGCAGTCAATTAGAATTGAGTAAACATAACTTGGCACTCTTATCTTTGGCCGCGTCTGGCAACATCAAGGGCTCTTCACCACCCATGCTTCTGTGTATATACGGCATATCAAAGTAGGGCATAAACTATCGTGTCCATCGGCGTGTACTCGAATTAGTGATGATGAGTTAGAGATGCATATGTTTCTTGTAGCTAAGTCTTTCTGT